TTTGTTTCTTTTGCTGTTCTTGTAATGCTGCCATCAAATCTGCTAAGCGTTAATTTGATTTGCCACCTCTCGTTTCCATCTTCTCCTTTTTTTTCTTTTCTTTTTTATTTTCTGTCCCACTCTCTGACACCAATTTCTTAGTATCTGCCTGTTTGATAATTTCCCGTAAAATTTCTTTCAGAGAAACTTCGGCGATACGAGTTATTTGTTAATTAAAACTAGTTTATTCTTTTTCGCTACAAACTTTGTAATACTCTTAATTTCCACAGTCACTTTAAAGTTAACTACTTTTATAAACACATGCTATAATTCACAACGACTCACGCACTTTACTTACGGTGCCTACAGCTCGCTTGACTCAATTATCTATCTCTATATCTGTCCATCTGCAATATTCTCCGCTGTATTTTCCGGGCTTCTATACTAAAATAGAGGGCGCCTGGAAAAGACTAGAGTTTCCAGGAACAGTCATGATTCTTTAGAAACTCCAGTGCTTATGCTTCCAGCGTCGCGTGGCTTCCGCTGTCGTAACAATATGTTTACAGAGCTTTAAAAATATGTTCAAGACAAGAAGATTTAAGTAACGAACTCGTACTAATGTAGCTGTTGAAAGAGGATTTGAACCAAATACAGTAGATATGGCATTTAAGGAATTTAGCAAAGGTTACATGTTAAGATCTATTTGTGTGTTGGATATACAAGACTGTTTAGTTTAAGGGTTATTATTTAGTTTATTTGGTGACTTCACATTTAATTTACTTTCCATAACAAGAGAGTTAAAAGTAATTATTTTAAAGTTATAGTTATGACACGTTGGGTTGCGTAACTCAGTAAGAGTCGTATGTTGTGTGTGTGGTTCAATTGTTGTAGTATTGTTGACGCCAAGTAACACCAATCTTCGGTATATTTCTCGTTACCTTAAATGAGTATTGTTCCATTATAGCGTCGCTTGCGTAGTTTGTAGAAAATTCTATGCCTCAGTTTGACAAAGTATACATATGTGACCAAGCGAGTGCAAGTCTAGTGAAGATAGAGAAGTAAAGTGAACTGAAAGTAAAAGTTCACTCAGAAAAAAGTTAGAAAACGTGAAGTTAGCTGGCGTGTGAGAGATTAACCATATTGGGCGATATTTTAAATTGAGTTTCACAGTTGAACAGAGATAAGGAGAGTAATTTGTCTTGTCAAAGGGTGTTCTAAAGTAATTGAACTCGTCTGTGTGGACTTTGACAAAAGGGAGACAATTATTTAAAGTTTGAGATACAATTGTGGTAACCCACGAAGTAACGTTAGTGAATATATAGCAGATTGTAGAGTAAGAAACAAGGTAGATAGAAATAGTTCTTCTTGTCAATTGGATTTTAAAGTAATTGAATCAGCCTGGGTGGACTTTTGACAAGAAAAAAGAATTATTTAGAGTTTTAGATGAAATTGTGATTTCCTATACTGTAAAGAATTTTTGTACATACGTTTAACTTGTTTTGAATATATTATTTTAAAACAAGTGGATTGTGAGCTGTCCATTTATTGTTCGAATTTATCGCCAACAAGTCACAGACAGCTACCATAGAAGAATTTGCAAACTACATATACATAAAACCCTGACATTATGAAAAAACAAAAAACAAACTTTAAGTTTACTTTATATTCTAGGGTTAACAAGTCACTTGTTTAAAGCTTTTAACAAGAAACAAAACTTTTATCCCATTGTTCCGACAGTGGAAGTCACGTAACGCTGGTAAAACGTGATGAATTTTTCGAATGATCATGAATTATTATGTATTTTTAGTATGTTTTAGTATTTAAGCCTGCGGGGATTGAATGAAAAGAGTTCCGGGTAATTTACGATTCTGTTTCGAGCTAGTGTGTGTTTTCGAGATTGTGAATCGCTGTGATTTATAGTGTGTATTATAAAAGTAGTTAAGTTTAAAGTGACT